GTATTATGAATATTCATCAGTTCTGTAAGTTTCAAGTCAAAAGGTAAAATGGTTTTCTACTTATCGTGTTATCGGTGCTGCATATATGCTGAAAAAAGTGAAAAAACAGCATAACTTCCCTAAAAATGGCCCGATCATGCTGATTTTCGAACTTGACCTGCATATTATGAATATTCATCAGTTTTATAAGTTTCAAGCCAAAAGGTAAAACGGTTTTCCACTTATCGTGTTATCGGTGCTGCATATATGCTGAAAAAGTGAAAAAACAGCATAAATTCCCTATAAGTGACCCGATCATGCTGATTTTCGAACTTGACCTGCGTATTATGAATATTCATCAGTTCTGTAAGTTTCAAGCCAAAAGAAAAAACAGTTTTCCACTTATCGTGTTATCGGTAAAAGTGCACGGCGACGACGACGACAGACGCAGATGACGGCTATATGTACAGACACATCTGTGTCTGTACATAAAAAGAATAAAAATAAATGAATTTTTGACAGATCTGATTGGCAATTTAATCATTGGCAAAATAAAGATTGGGAATAAAAACTTAAAATAGTCATTGCAATCACGTGGGACCTACACAGCAAAACGAAGCTAAGTATTGATGGTTCATTGTGGGTATCAAATTAAAAACGGGTTTAAACATCATTCTATAGATAAAGGCTAAATGAAACAAATGTCAAATAATGACTTTTCAAAAGAAATAGACAAGATGATTCATTAAGTACATCATAAATGAGCTGAAAAATGTTTTCCCCTCTGTTTGGTGTTTGCATTTATTTCATGAACCTGACTTTTTTTTAATTTACATTCAAATCTGCAACATGGTTCAATTGCTTTAATATGCTTACCCTTCACTCTAAACTGGATCTTTTTTCAAATATTCAAGAACACTAAGTTACCAACCTTGACATAGTGTAGACTGGCAGATCTTAGGTTACAAGACATACATCGCGGGTTTCTCCGATATTCTGCTGCACATTGGGTTGCACTAATTCCATTTTGCCGCTCTTTGGTTACCAACCCAGAGCTAGAAAAATATTTTTTCTGGAACAATATGGAACATTTCGGTCGCACCATCTTTTCCTTCTGTGTAAAAGCGACAAAGAATTGCTATACCAATGGCAAGACTAAGCAAGCACTTTGTTTCCGACATTCTGATGCCCATATAGCCGTTCTTACTGAAAAACGCTGAAAACACTAACAAGTCGACAAGCTATAAATTAAAAGGGAGGCTAACAATGACAGATTCTGACATGTAAATTAAACCATTTGCCTTCTGTTGCTATGTGTTTTAAATAAAACAATTAACTGTGACGACCTGGAGAATACAAAAAGACCGTGAGCACGTTTCACTGAAAAAAATAGCTAATGATTTAGACCAATGATCAACTCTAACTACTTTATTTAGCGGGCTAACTGTGCCTTAGGCTCCTTAAGAGAAATGAGCGACGCACAAATATTTCAAAGTGGCAGCCAGGAAGATAATTTTGGTCAGTTTCTGTTGGTTAGATGATGAAATCCTGTATGCCCTTTTACCAGTAGTGGCCAAGAAAGTTAACGTGAAAGCATTACCCCAATACGAGAGACACGATTCTGCCAAGCAGTAGCGTTAGAAGATCGATTGCTTTAATTATCATAATTACACCATTTACAATGTATTTACTACAGAGCTCAATTTAATAATCGATATTAACTTATTGCTATTTGTATGTTCAGTGATGATATCGTTTTTCTTTATTGGCACCTTGCCAAAACATCAGTCATCTGCAGTGCAGCAAGGAAAACCACTTATTACAATCATTATGATTCCAGGAGATCTGAAACATACATATAAAACAACAAGCTTAAAGCATTCTACAAATTTCAATATGAAAACGTATCTATTTCTTGCATTTCTATGTAAAGACGTTGTTATGTTGTTAACGTGGGCTAAACTCATACGTGCGTGATTACAGTATATGTTGCTGTTAGTCATGGGGGCACTTACATGTTTTCTGATGAGAACGATTTTTCGAAAAATGAAAACAAATCAAAGTTTTCCTACCATTTTAATGGTTAACAATTGCTATCAGAATATTTCCATTTTTATTTTGGAATGGTGGCTGAATGTATACCAATGATTTCTACCAACAACAAAACGATCAAATGATTCAGCTTTACTTGCATCTGTAAAATTAAAAAATGTGTCACCGCAAAGAGAAAAAATAGAAATGAAGTGAATCGCTGTCAAGGGGACCTTTCCCTTTTCGTTTATTTTCATGTCATTACACGTCAAATTTTACCACAAACAAATGATATCTGTACCTTAATGTACCTGTACTATGCAAGTTAGAAGATCTATATACTACCAAGTTTAAGTAAAAAAAATCATTCAGACCATTGATTCAGTTTCAAACACGATGCTATTAATGTTCAAAAAGACAGACACATGTTTTGTGTATCTGCAACATGACACTGCACACATAATTTTAATTTCATCACCGTTCTATTTTCAATATAAAATCTATTACATTTTGTTATGGTTTGGTGGTGAAAAAAACTTTCACGTGACCCAGATGCTCCAAGGCTCACCGAAGCCCTGTTGTTGCCAAGTTGAAGGGTCCAAACTCAGACAGTAAAATCCAAACATTGAACATGTAAAGAAATTACTTCTCGCATCAGTTTAATTCGAATATGAACACTGCACATTTTGCATGATCAATACAATAGAACTTTTAAAACTCTTTTTAGAATTCTTCGTACCAGTGGTAAATTTCAACTCAAGCAAAATGATACCAAGAAGACTTTTAAAACATTTGGTCACAAAAGTTTTGAGACTGCTACACAAATTTTATAGTCTATTAACAAATCAAATGTGTCTTTAATGACTCTCATCACTGTTTTAAAAGTATTTAAAAAACTTTTTTGGGAGGGTTAAGTTAATTTTTGGTTTAGTTAACGTTTATGTTTTAGTTTTAATTAATCTTAATTAATCTTTGTAATTTTAGTTTTTATATTTAAATGTAAACAGCACTGAGACGCACGTGTAGAAATATAATTATTATTATCATTATTATTTGTTATATAAATGACCCATTTTGTTTCACGATAATTGATAAAAAAGCAATGTATAAGGGGGTATCAATTAAAATATAAAAGAAGCAAAATATTCTTCTGAATGATGTCGACACGATTTCCTCTCTGAATTTTGTTTTCCTTAACCCCTCATGTTAATTGCTTTATCTTCAAAACAGCCGCACTAAGCAGATACTCCTTGTTTCCATCATCCAAGCCTGTGTGTTTAAATTGCTGATAATAAAACGTAGTACAGTCCATTGTTGCCATTTTCCCCGTGAGGACGATATGCGTGCAATCGCGGTACCACCAACCGCCCTTGAATTCATCGGCACAGTTTCTAGACATGATGTTTTCATCATTGTCAGCATCATAGGTGGAAAACGGCAAACCAAACTGGAAAGACCAATAATTGGGATCTTGACTTATGTTTCCAACACCTGGATGGAATTGATTGAAAACATATATTTCTGATTCCGGGCATATGCGGAAACCGTGATGGATTTCCCAGTAGTAATTATCAGTGGGCAAGCTCCTAACTTCGACCATTAAGGAGTAGTTTCCCTGGTTGGTGAGATGATGAAACGCTTCCAGTCCCAGCCAGTGGTCGCCGGCAACGTCACCAAATCCGTCACGGTAATCCACCCAGGACCTTCATATGTAAAGAATAAATCAAAACATGAAATTATATGCCTTACGAATACATCTTCCATTTTCCGACAATATCAATACAGGGGTCATCTAATTTAGCTAAAATCATTATATTTCATCCCACTTTAACTTCGGCGTCGACGAAGCTGTGCCAGAGAACGCGAGGGAAAGGTTAATCTTAGTGTTTTATAACCCTTATAAAGTACTTTTACAGAATATTTAAAAAATTAGATTTATAATTTGATAAACTGCACAAATGGTGGATCTTAGAGAAGAGGGCGGTGTAAATATTGCCATACATTTACCTGCTAAAGTTTAGTTCTGGTCCTGTTCTACGCATCAGAACTGTCCACCCTTGCTCACATGATACCTGGAGTTGTTTACCCATTGAACTGACGTAAATATAATGGACACCATCGACGCCATCTGAAATGGTTATTATTTAGTGAAAAAAGATCGTCATATAGAGAGACTTACATGTAGATAAATCAGATGAACAAATAACATAAAAGCATTCTTAGATATATAAAGATAAATGACTAAATAATGAAAATGATAAAATAAGTTTGTCGTTATTCTGCAATGTCTGATTGGCGCAAGAATTCGTGGTAAAAATATAGATTGATAATTGGTTACTTACTATAATCAGCACAGTCGCGGGGGACCTAAAATATAAAATTGAATTTAGTATTGATATAAATAGCGTGTTTTGTGCACTTATCGCATAGGCTAAATGAGACTTTATCCTGTGATTTAGCCGAGTTCTTTTTTTTTCAGACATTTTAAAAAGACTATGATACAAACCTTGGCATAGTGTCAACTGCCAGCGTCGTCAATGAGCGCCAACTTCTTAGGGGTGAAATCTACGGCGGAATTCAGTTCACACACAGCGTTGTAAGATCTCATGTTAAACGACATACATCGCGGGTTTCTCCGACATTGTACTGCACATTGTATTGCACTTATTCCATTTTGCCGCTCTTTAGTTTCCAGCACAGCGTTTGGCAAATATTTCCCTGGTACAATACGGAAAACATCGGTCGCACCATGTTTTCCTTCTATGTAAAAACGACTAAGAATTGCTGAACAAACGACAAAACAAAGCAGCCCCCTTGCTCTCATTTCCGACATTCTGACGCCCAAATAACCGTTCTTACTGAGAAACTCTGGAAACACTCACAAGTCTACCATGATATCAATATACCATTAAAGGCAAGTTAACAATGACCGATAGTGACATGCTACTCCGTTTGCTTTCTGTTGCTGTGTATCTCAATTGATATAACAAAATACTTGTATCGCGGACTACGTTCTTGGAAAAAAGGAACATCAGTTTGCGCGACGATAATGTGCACCAACATATTGGCATTTCAGTCTGTGGATTTCAAGGGTATCTATCATTTTATTAGGATAACAGAATGCGTAACTAAAATACACTAACATGTACTTACCAATCACATGGAAATTTTTGTCATACATGAGCGTTTGTGCCTTTCCTACCGAAACTTGGATCTCATCTTAAGAAAGAGCACGGTTCAAGGGTTGGCATGAGTTTAGAAACAGAATAAAACTGTCTATTTCGATCAAGAGGTGTCAATAGTAATTCACATAAACTAAGATGATCAGCACGTTTCACAGAAAAATGAAATGGCTAATGTTGCAGACCGACCTTTCATCCTAACTACTTTAATTTCCGGGCCTAACTGTCACAAATAATGAAATTAATGGCCCTTTTTTCTTCCTACTTGTGTGTTTTTGTTTGATAAAGAAAGTCCTTAACAATGGAAAACAGCGAAGTTAATGTGTATTTAGTACCCCCATGACGAGATTAAGATGAAATATTTATCATTTATCTTTTTAAATAATCTTGCAACCCATGACGATTTGGATATACACGTATACATAGACATAATGGTACAGTCAGATAAAACTACAAATTGATAAAAATAAGAACACTGATGGATAATAAAACGCAAACAAATCCCGTTACATTATAAAAGGCATTCACCAAACGTTTTATAAGTTGAGGATCAGATGTGACACACAGTAGATGGATTGCCATAATGATCAAAACTGCGCTACTAACAATGTAAACCACTTATTGTAATCACCACTGCTCCAGGGAATGGGACACACATACAAATAACACGATTAATGCATTTCGCTTACTTGTAACACCAACTAATGACGCTAAATATAACAACTTATCAATTACTTAAATTTCAATGCATATATTTATTGTTTGTGATAGATGATTTAAGTTGTGTGTGTGTGTGTGCGTGTGCGTGTGTACTTTGTTGTTATAGTCTCTCTCTAGAAAAGATGAGAATGGACATTTAATCTAATTTGTCATTAGTGTATGTTTTAAAAATTATTTGCTCACGGTCTAACGAAACTGAGGGTCCGTGTAACAAAAGTACTCTCCATTTGGATATAATGGTTAGGGTTAGCCTGACCTAAGTGGGTTAAATTTTAGGGTGAGGCTTACCTGATAAAACCTGATGAATGGGAATGGACTCTCTTTCATGAAGGACTCTCTGCCACGTTCTACCGGTACGTTTACAAGCTATCCTTATAGTGAAATGGTCTTCCTTCTTGCCATTATTATCAAAGCACATGACGCAAGATACGAGCTAAAAGGAAAAGCGAGCACTATCATCTAAACGGTCACACTTGCTTAAATACAGCAAAGCCCGTCTAGTTATCTTCGTGAAATTGATACCGGTACATTTGAAATTAAAACATGATTGCAAAGCACGCATTTTGTTATAATTTAGAGCCAAAACTTTTCATCTTACGTTTTCCAATGTGGCAATATAATTGGCTCATAATGTTATAATTTTTCTGAAGTTGTGCTTGCATTTGTTTTTAATTACCAAAATTTAGTTTAATTCACATTTGCAAAATTCGTCCGCCGCATTTTCATTATATAGGTGCATGTTAGTATAATTCTCTACATAAAACGATTTAAAATCACCACCTTTATCTTTCTGTCATCCATCCCCGTCTACTTTAATTAGTCAGTGTGAGATAATACACTGTCACCCGAGTGATATATGCCATAACACCTCGAGCGTCAGCGAGAGGTGTTCTTGGCATATATCGCGAGAGGGTGACAGTGTATTATTTGACATACATACCGAGAAAAAATACAGTCATTTCATCTTAAAACACCCCTAAAACCGAATAAAATGACCCTATATCACGCTGTAGAGATGTTATACGAAATAAACTCGTCCACGTGCGCTAGTCATCTCCCGTCAAATTCTTACGTAATGTCTGACCAATTTGGTCAATTTTTGCTAAATACTTGTCGTGGACGTTCAACTGGCCCGAAAGGTATTTAATCAACCGTCGACACTGACCATGCGAGTCTCAGCTGAGCCACACCTAGCTGGAACTGCTGCGGAAAAAAGGTCCCGAGGCAAAACCTCTACTTTTTAGTGGCATTTCTGATAAAAAAGGAGCGTCGGACCGGAATATAGTCAAACTAATTCTTCACAAGTGCAAAGGAAAAAGAAATTTACTTTTTGGTGATATTTCTGACAACGAGGCAATTCGGAATATAGTCAAAATCGACGGATGTTTATTACAAGTTCACGGGAGTAATAATTCTAGTTTTTTATTGTTATTTCTGACGACGAGGCGGTTTCGGAATATACATGTGCTGGTTTTCAGAGTATTCTTGTGCTTCATGTAATTACAAGTTCAAAGGGGGGATACATTTTATTTTTACCGATATATCTGATACAGAGGAAGAATGAACAGCTTGAAAACAAAAGGTAAATAACACAATCCTCGTTAAAAAGTTATAGATTTACAAATAATTTGAATACACGTGTGGCTTAAATTTAAACTAATTCCCGTTTTCAAACCATACCCTTATGATATGTAATAAAATGATAAATAATAATTGTTAAACGTGAAAAGTTTATGCTAATTTTTTAAGAGTGTGAGAGATTTTTAATTTGTCTACTGGTAGGAATATAACGTAAGCAACGTCACTATTCTCTTGATGCGAAGAAGGTCACATGATCACTCTGTCTTTGGCTTTCAGCATTTAAGAGACCTAGACTGATTTAACCAAGATGTAGTCGTGAAATTCTAGACTAAATCGAGGTTAAATCCGAGTTTTCCGAGAGACGCTACGCAGAAATGTCGAGTGAAGCGAGACATTTTTGGGTAGCGGCTCGAGGTTGCCCTTGATCTTCACTGAAGCTTGGCTAAATGGACAGGCTTCAGTGATCATCATATCGCCACGGTCATATAACATCCCTAGGTATGTATTTCCTGAAAACACGGTACTTGATCTTATCCAAATTAGATACGCTTCTCCAAACTACCTGCAAATTAGAATTCTTAAAAGAGAAACAAGTTGATTCCTCTCATGGACGAAATAATGCACAACGCCTTTGCCATCCATGTCACCCTTCCTCCTCAGGTATTATTTTCCCAAAATTAAATCTGAATTATTTAAAAAGAAATTGATCAATTTAAAATATGAAGCAACGATTTCAAACCATTTCCTCCGACAACCTCCATCCTCATAAATCCTCATATTCCCAACTGCTCATGTCAGTCGAGGTAGAGTCAGCTGATTTGCTCTTTTAAAATTCTGGCCTTTCATATATGGAATACATGTAACTATAATGCAACAGATGCAACAGGGTATTATCTCAGGGGAAATTATTTCTGTCAAAGAGGGCAGGATGCTTTTACTTGGTTAACGCAAAATGTCCATCCACATTTTCGCCAAAATCAGAATGTTTTTAAAAATCAGTTCAATGCATAGAGTTTGTTTAGATGTGAGAAAATAGGAGCAATTAGAAAAAAGCAAAAAAAAAAAAAATCACAACAGGTTGAGAAAATCATTCATTTGTATGGAAAAACATCCCTAATATAGCCAAGCAATCGCCCGGTCGCTTTTTTTTTTCTCATTCCACCGAGAATGAACATAGTTTGTTTATGGAGGCACGCTATCCGCACTTCGCAAACTCGAGCCTCGTGAAGTAATGGACAGTCATTAAAAACGTAAAAGCCCAACCGTACATGCAAGTGTAGGTCTCTTCTACCATTATCATTTACATTCCTTGTTTCGTTCTTCATTGTATATTCTCAACTGTACTTTCTTGTTACATACTTTTTGTACTCTCTGATAGCCTCGACTTTGTCGATGATAAAAGGCATGTACGTATTACTGAAAGACAGCGGTGTCGCCTGTGACACTGTTATTGTAATGTTTATAAATGCGTAGAAATATCTAAATGCCACTCCTTAAAAAAGATGGTACATTTTACAGAACTTTCAAAGGATTGTCCAATTGTTAAGGTAATTTATAGAAATGAAAACACTGACTCTGTTGCAATTACACTGACTAACAGTAATTTTATTATTTAGTTGCGTAAGAATACAAGAACCATTTTACTCATTTATAAGAGATTATTCCCCTGTTTGGTTTAGTTTCATGTCATAACACGTTAAATGTATCAAACACAAATGATATCTGTACTAGATGTAACGTGCAAGAACAGAAGTGCTACTACATGTACCTAGTACTCCTCAGGCATGCCGAAACACCATGAAGTTGGACTGTCAAATTCAGTTTAAAAAAGACGATGCTTTCAGTACTCAGTTTTAAAGAAATAGTCTTATATGCTTTTGCTATATGACGCTGCACACTGTATCATTTTAAGTTAACAACCTAATCCTTATTATTTTCAGTATGCACACTTCAGCAATTTGTTGACAGTCCATGGAAAATAAGTCCACGTGCCCAAAATGCTCCAAGGTTCAACGGCACTTTGTTTGCTAAACCGATGGGTTCAGAGTCGTACAGTAAAAAAGCAAACATAAGGACTTATACAGGTTTGTTAAAATATACCATTTACAAAAATGGCTCGGTTTAAATTAAGATACTAGTAAATAAGTACAACGTATAATGGTGGTACGGACTGTTATAAAAGAGAACAAATTACGAACTTCAGGAAAACATCTAATGGAGTTCTATACATTTTTGATCTGCGATTCCCTCTCTGAACTTGGTTTCCCTTCCCTTCAATCGAATTTCTTTATCTTCATAGTAGCCGAACGGAGCAAATGTTCGTTGTCTTCATCATCCACGCCTGCATGTTTAAAGTGCAGATAACAATGTGCAGTACAGTTCATCGTCGCCATTTTTCCCGTGAGGGAGATATGTGTGCAATCGCTGTACCACCAACCGCCCTTGAATTCATCAGCACAATTTCTATGCATGATGTTTTCATCATTGTCAGCATCAAAGGTGGAAAATGGCATGCCAAATTGGAAAGACCAATAATTGGGACCCTGACTTATGTTTCCGAAACCTTGCTGGAATTCATTGAAAACATATTTTCCTGATTCCGGGCCTATGCGGAAACCGTGGTGGATTTCCCAGTAGTAATTATCAGTGGGCAAGCTCCTTACTTCGACCATTAAGGAGTAGTTTCCCTGGTAGGTGAGATGATGAAACGCTTCCAGTCCCAACCAGTGGTCGCCGGCAACGTCACCAAATCCGTCACGGTAATCAGCCCAGGACCTATGTATACGGAAAGAAAGCTAACCAGAACTACATGTCTCTCTATTTATCGCCAAAACCCCATTTGAATCCATTATAAGGACTGGTGTTATGATTACCCCATTTTGCACCTTATCTGTTTCATCGTTGCGTTTTAAGCAATAATTTGACAGCACAGGGAGCAGGATTGATAAGAATTGCCGTAATGCTTCAGATGAACTCTTACTGATCGTTTACGCGGCGATAATTAATTACATACCCCCCCCCCTCGTGTAAAAGAAATGATGACATTTAAGATACACATCAAGACAAAATTGTTGCCCTTTTGATATATTTTTGCTTAAAACTTGTCATACCTGTTAAAGTTTAACTCGGGTCCTGTTCTACGCATCAGAACTGTCCACCCTTCCTCACATGATACCCGGAGTTGTCTATTCATAGAGTTGACATTAATACAGTGAACGCCATCCAACCCAACTGAAAGCATTGGGAGACCCAAAGGTATTTAAAGAGAAATAACTGGAAAATCCTCATATAACACAAACAGACAGAGAAACATGGAGAAAAAGGGAATGCACATATGATGTACAGATACAATACATTAATAAAAAGAATGGGCCATGGGTACCATGCAGGTGTATTATTTCAGCGATTTTTCTAAGTATCATATAAATCCAAGTAAACACACTATTTAAAAAAAACTCACCATAATCAGCACAGTCGTGTGGAACCTAAAACGATATGAAAAAAGACATCAGCTAAATTTTGTAATGGTTGAAAGAATGATACAGTCAAAATAAAATTAGAAATGCATTCAAAATATAAAATGATTATAGACGGTTTGATTTTTAAAAGGATTAATAAATTGTTAAAATACTACTATTATGCAAGATTAAATTTCTTGGATTTTTCCCATAGTTATAATTTTGCAAGTACAAAAATGAGTTTTACAAATTTCTTTCGTACTAATAATTCTCAACGTTCGTGGTTAAAAGGGTCATTGAACCTTGGTGGTACGACATAATAAGACAACGTTGCCTACCTTTGTATATTATCTACTGGCCTTATTGTCACTAAGGGTTATTTTGTTGATTAAGTTCTTTATAAATGAACTGAGAAACATTTCCCCTACATTTTTAAACATTCTGTACATGTGGTGTTTGTAAACCTGACCTTTTTTGAATTTATATCAAAATCTGCAACATGATCCAAATGGTATAAAAGGCCTACATTTTATTCTAAACTGGGTTTTTCCCAAATATTCAAGAACCATTCGATACCAACCTTGACATAGTGTCGACTGGCAGCGTCGTCAACAAGAGCCACCTTGTTCGGGGTGAAATCAACTGCGGAATTCAATTCACACACGGTATTCCCAGATCTTACGTTAAACGATTTGCACTCTGGGTTTGCCTTGCATTCCGCTGCGCATTCTATCCTGCTTATTCCTTTTGGTTCTTCTCTGCTTTCCAATAGAGCATTGGGTAAATATTTTCCTGGTGTGCCATAGAAAATGTCGGCTTTTGTTACACCATTTTTTGTCCCTATGTAAAGCCCAAAAACAGTCGTAATGAAAATATGCAGACAAATACATAGTGTTGCTCGCGTTTCTGACATAACTGCGTGGATACAGATCATTCTCTGAATGGCACAAAAACACCAGATATCTACAGGGATAAAAAAAAGTATGTTATTGATCAGGGAGTGGAGCTTTTGTTGCTAGGTAACTTCAAAATGTTCTATCCACGATCGAAAATGCATGAAGTCGATCATATTTTTCCATGTCCACGTCTTTCAAATCTACTTTTTTTCCAAATTTGGACCTTAAACTTATAAAACAATATAATTCAAATCAAAAACTTATCTCTAGAGAGAAAAGCAGAATGTCCAGTATCCAAACGGATGCAGGGGGGGGGGGTGACCCCCTTTCGATTTCTGAAAAAAAGTCACACCGATGGTCCCCTCTAGAAATTAGAATTTTGACTACCTTAATTATAGTTCTAAACCGTACCAAATGGCACCATTTGCACTCTAAAATGCCAAAAGTTTTCTGTGCCCTTCAACGAACCCCGAACCCCTCGCAAAGGAGGGGGGCGTATTCGCATCCGCGGACCCCCCTTCAAACAATCCCGGATCCGCCCCTAAAACTGGTAGCAAAATGGCATCAAATGAACCAGCTTTGGGACGGACCTCATAATAAGCGACCAAGGTTTGCAAACGCAAGAACCAAAAGTCGTCTAGTCAGATTTGGTCACCAGAATTGCGTCATGTCGGCAAGACAACTTGGAAATAGAATTCCTTATTAAACTGACAGATAGGCCTATCAAGAAAGTAAGTTACGGTTTCAAAGTTGCATACTTGCCACACTACACGCCAATTCCAGAGAGCGCTTTCGTTCATAAATGATTATACTAATAGACACAAATTCTACAGGGATTTAAGGATTTTGGTTGCGCTTCCGATATGTCGCCCTTTCATGTCCGCCTTTACTGCATTAATCATTCAAACGCATTCCCAACATCATATTATAACATATTACATATAGGGGCACTGTATTGCTCGTAAATCGATAATTATTTTTATTTGGAACATAAACTGAACTCCAATACGTGTATTATCTATACATAAATTAACGGCATTTATTTCAGAAAAATTGAGTAGAGGAAGAACAAAAAACACAAATATTGCGTTGGTCGTTAACTAAAGACTTAATAGATATCCCGTGGGGAAGTATTCAAGTGGGTCGGCCATATTTGACACTCGGACTTGTTAGTCCACTGTTGTTAATGCAGCCTAAGTCGAAATGCGCATTTTCGCCTTTACAAAAAGCACAAAGACGCAGACATTAACGACAGTGCATTGCACCATTTCGGAAAAGGAGGAGTAGTATTATTTTCCATTTCAACGCCGGTTGTAATCTGAATTGCCGTGTCAGCGTTGGCCCCAAGTAATAGTTGTCCAGCTTGGCTAGAATCCGGGATTGTGAGATACACGGGCGAGCTAGGCGGTAGAGGGGCAACAAGCCTCTTAAACAGGACCAAACAGGCTTCAGGAGTCTCTCCGTACAGAGGACTGACAGCGAACCCATCATTTGCAGGCATTATGGTGCCGTACCCAGCAATTTTCCCATCCTGCAGCAATACTTTGGTCTTGGAATCTTCGATTCCAAACCATATTTGGAGAACACGTTCCCTGGGAATGACATGGAAAGAGGTGTCGTAGTCCAAAATAGCTTTCCAATCAACCTCTGAATAATCTTTTATTTCATATTTGGACTCAGCATCGTGTGACAGTGGGATTTTTATTGTAGTAAACCGATATTTAACCAAAGAACCACGTATGGATCTTTTGAAGCCCCATTTGAAATAGACAGGCATCCCAGCTTCACCTCCAACTAAAGAGATTGTCCTGTCACCAGCAAAGGAGTCCACTTCCTTTTTTGAGTGCTTTCCCTGTGAAAAAAACTTAAATTGAAGATTTGCAATACATATTTTTAACAATTTACATCTTCCAATTTTTCATTGTTTCGTCAGAAAATAGCGATTGTTTTGTATCGTTCGCAAAAAAATCTGTTAGACTAGAATCTCAAAGAGTCTACTCCAAACAATCGGTTCCCCGATGTAACAGGCTTTCATTTTGAATAAAAAAGGCTGATATTTGTGAAAAAGACCAGCAATGAGTTTGATGAATACATCTTGTTGACGAAAATGTTGAGACATAGTGTGTTAGCAGCTAGCTAGTAATCAGTTCCTTACCAATACCCTTTCCTCTATATTCAGCTTCCACAATCAGTATACCAAGGAATGTGTACGTTTCATTGAAACCATATAGCATCACGCAGCCTGAAATAATGACGTATCACACGTAATGTCAGCTGTCAATAAGCTCGACATTTGGATTTTGACCCACTGCTGAGACAGCGTTTCAACGACTGTCTATAAACCATGTCACCCTGATTTTAGAGGACACTGGAAAAGCAACTCTCTTGTATGAGCATACAGTGTACCCCTGTTGCATCCAGTGACACCATGAGTTCACTGAAAACTCGCCTCTCTGCTACGTAAATCAATATGCATCTTTCATTAGCATGTACGCAGGATCCAGTTCATTTTAAAAGTCAGGGTGCAATACGCTTACTGATGCTGTGCAAATGATTACAAATTAGAACTTTAAAGATATTGTTTGAGAGAGGAAGAGAGAGAGAGAGAGTGAGAGAGAGAGAGAGAGAGAGAGGGAGAGGGAAAGAGAGAGAGCAATACGCGTTTGGATTTCGTGGCTGGCAAAAGAAAAGGTAATACGGGCAAATGTAAAACGACCTGCTTTAAAAATAAAACATTTTACATAGATGAGCTAACACTGAGAGGAATTAGACCCAATTGTCTTTCTAAGACCGCATTCCCATACCTAGATCGATCTAGCAGAATCGACCCTCCTCTGAGGAGATTCTCGCTAAATTGCATTTAGATTAAACGGCTTTAATGTCTGAAGCTCCTAAAGGATAGTTAATTACCCCCTAACAGTTTTAGTAGGTATGTCCCTTAAAGCTGAATGTAATTTAGCAAGAGACCCCCGGAGATGGGTCGATCCTGTTAGATTGATCTAGGTATGGGAACGGGGTCTAAGAAACCATGTAATTTGCCCTTACCTACAACTTTCCCGTCAACTTCAGCTACCCACCAGCCGTCTTTGGCAATTTCCATATATGCCTTGATCAGTTGCAGACTAAAAGGTACCCATCCCGCTTCTTGGACTATCCTCCAAACGTCGCCCGCATCTTCCAGCTTTGCAATGCGAACACTGAACCAATCTTTGTCAACCCTGTCCGCCATGTTAATCGGTGAGAGATCCATGTATATCGCTTATCAAATCGGTGACCTACCTGTAAACATGTAGGCCTACATGAATATATGTCTCTTTTTCTCAAACCAGCCAAGAATAGTTCTTGATTTTTATATCTTAGATATATTAACCACCAAGATAAAAAGTAAATTTTAGCAGGTCACAAGTGTTTACCTTACATCCAGGACGCAATATAGCCTACACTAAGGCTGTGTGCTAAAAATAGCCACGTAATGTTAGACAAACACCGACCGTATTAAGACAAGACTGTTTGATGCGAGATTCTCAAGGTAAATTTTTTTTCCGAGGCTGCTCAAAAGGCCAGTCAAATTCTCACAAATTGGAGGGTATATATGCACTTTATTTCTTATCTGCTTATGCGTATGCGTTGTATTTCAATCTGATAAAAAATAAAACTAATTTCCTTGATTCAAAACAAAAAAGATGTATAACAATACCTCTTCTGTAATTAAAAATTGGAAGCTAACTTGCCGGTACCTTGAGCTATGCAAGGCTATTTTTGTGGGAATTTAATGCATTAGATTGGGGCAAGAGATTTAAGATTTTCTGTAAGGTGCAGTCTTCAATGGAATGCGGCATGGAATAATTCATTACCATAATATTATCACCGACACGTTACAAGCTAGTATTCAATTTACGTGCAACTGTTTTATACATGTTATAGTACATTTTGCGTTTGATTGCTGACCATGTCACAATACATCCTCAGCTCTGTTATTGCAATATGTTTGTCATCTGCATATGTTTGTCATATAAATGCTGATTCAACATTTATTGAAGTTTGAGTTAACTCATGGTGCTGTAAGTAGTTTATTTGTAATTAAAAGCTTTAATGCAATGTTTAACAGAGCTCCGTCACCGTATAAAGAAAGTCTCCATTAGATTAATACAGGTAAAGATTAGCGTGACGTAAGTGGGTGCATTTTTTTAATTTAATTTTTTGACTTATGAATCACACAGTCACATACACTTAAACACTTTTACTGTCACTCTCTCTCTCAGTATACAAATATATACTATACAGTAGTGCGTATAAGGATAGAAAGTAGCGATTGACTATTTTTTGTTTTTTACCTTATGATTGATATACTAAAAAGTATATCCTTAGATACAATGTAGCTGCTTTTCAATTAAATTGTAGTAGACAATTAATACTTTCCCATGTGGATAAAAATCTAGTCGGTGTTATACCTGTACAAATCACAAGGAATCGAACTCTCCAACACGTGACAACGGAGACCATAGTGTTACAAAAAACAAAAGGACACAGATATTAAAGACATTGCATTGGACCACTTAGGAAGAGGGGGAGAATGTCCGGTCTCCAACGCATACCCATACATTGTTTTCTTGGCCGTGTCAGCGTTGGCTCCAAGTAGTATTTGGCCAGCTTGGCTAGAGTCCGGGATTGTGAGATACACGGGTGACGTAGGCGGTAGAGGGGAAACGAGCCTCTTTAACAGGACCAAACAGGCTTCGGGAGTCTCTCCATACAGAGGACTGACAGCGAACCCATCATTCGCAGGCATTATGGTGCCGTAACCAGCAATTTTTCCATCTTGCAGCAAAACTTTGGTCTGGGCATCTTCAATTCCAAACCAAATTTTGAGAACACGTTCTCTTGGAATGGCATGGAAAGAGGTGTCGTAGTCCAATATGGCTTTCCAATCAACCTCCAAATAATCTTTTATTTCATATTTGGACTCTGCGGCTTCAGAGAGGGGAATTCTTTTGATAGTGACCATGTATTTGCCAACACCACCACGCAGAGACTTTTTGTAGCCCCATTTTAGATACATTGGGATCACCGCTTCACCTCCGATAAGACTGATCGTTCTGCCGGCGGCTAGTCTGTCTGCTTCTGCGTTTAATGCTCTAGCTGTGAAAAAGTCATTTATATTACTTCGAATAGAGACAGTAAGCCAGTGTGTGTGTTTTAAGAGGACATATATTTACACATAAAAAAATATATTTGGCATTCTCCAAAAGTAATTCAAACTACCTTTTAGTTTTTCTAATTCATATGTTATATGTCTGTTTATTGTCTATGCCCACCCTGAAAACCAGATACCCCGTTATCATCGTACGTGAAGCTGGTGGTCCAGTGTCCCATGGTATAGAACCGAGCACCTGCAGTGTCGGTGTGACAGGAATGGTCGTCCACTAGGAAGTGCTGTCCGTTTCCCATTTCTTTCAGTGCAGTTGACATTTTCTCCATTTACTGACCCCATCAGTCATACTTGCAGCCAACCCCAATTTGTAATAAGAGTACAGCACCCCCGTCTTCCATCAACCATTCATGTCACACCGGCGGCTTCATGACACCTTGCTTTTTCAATTTTTAACTTAATCCACTTTATTTTTATTATTTTATTTTATTTTATTGATTGATTGTAGAAAGCCATTTTCTATGTGTCGGCAGCCAGTGGCTTATAAACTTACCAATCCCCTTGCCTCTGTGTTTTGATTTCACTATCAAAATACCAAGGAAAGTACTTGTTTCGTTGAAACTATACAACATGACACAACCTGAAATATCAAAATACCATGGTTATGAATAGTGCGTGTGTGTGTGTGTGTGTGTGTGTGTGTGTGTGAGAGAGAGAGAGAGAGAGAGAGAGAGAGAGGAGAAAGAGTGCTCCCATATAATAACATATACCGATAAGTGGTCATAAATTTTTACTAAACAATACATGTCATTTTCTCCTGCTTTCTTCATATAATTCCAAAACAGAAACGGGCGAGTCATTTCACCATAAAATCAAATTTACTACACACTTGATACCTTTGTTCTTTACTGGTCAATGCCCAATGTCGGTGTTACTGTGATAAGTCAGCTAAAAACTGTTCGCAAAAAAATGTGTAGTGCTTATCGATTTTCTAAAAAATGCATCCATATACAAATCATGTGTGGTGAGAGGTTATCATTTTCAAGTAAATTTTTATTTAGCAACGTAGGACAATGACTGTACTGCCAAAATGTATGGTGAAATATCATGACGATTCAAAGTAACCTGTTCTTACCAATAATTTCGCCGTCAATTTCAGCAACCCACCACCCATCTTTGGCGATTTCAATATACGCCTTGATCAGCTGCAGACTGTAAGGTCTCCATCCTTCCTCTCTGACAATTCCCCAGATGTCGTCTGCATCACACATGCTTGCTTTGCGAACACGGAACCCATTTCTGTCAACCACGGCCGCCATTTTACCCACTAATGAGGCCTTAAAGTCCCCTTTCGATGACCCTATCTACCTTTATCATAGCAGTCAACCTCTCTCTACTTAGTGATGAATTTAAACCGTTTTCATTCAATCATGTCTCTACAATATTATGCTAATGAGTGAACTTTGATAATTATGACTGAAGTTTTTTTTTTTTTTTTGAAACAGTCGCTTTGCTTATGAAACCTAGAAAGATGCACAGAAAAGGTACAGTGGAACATTAAGTAGGTCAGAGGATTACACCCTATATATACAACATACGTAACTCACGATAAGCATAGCCATATGAAATAGCGTGTTATATAAGGCAAAGGCGATGGCCATGCTTATCGTTATGCAAACCCTTTCAGGCCAGTTTTACTATCTGCCTTGCTTATACTGTACATGCATAGCCTACTTTTTTCGCATGTATGCAGGTGAGTTCGTGGGACCCCCCTTTTAACCCCAAAAAGGTCTACTTTGAATCAAAGTACTTAAGTTTTCATGACATTTCTGAACTAGGATCAGTTTCTCTGTCCGAAATCCACCCCCTTCAGTCTTGCACATAACTACAGCGAATGCTTTTCGCTCTAGATAATGAGTTTTTCCAGTGATTCCATTATTTGGATCTCTGTACATTTGGGGAAACTAGCGTGCCAACCTGTAAAATCATGCGTTAGTGCGCCAAGTCATATGACCCTGTGGTCACTCTTAGTTGGGTGAACAGTAATCAGTCACGTGGTTTTAGGTGTGTGTGGTGTAGAAATCTCGAGAGAATTTAGTAGACAAGTAGCAAGCATGCCGGTCCGTCACCTGTGTTTGGAACCGTAGATAGCATATAATGTGAGTAATTGTAAAATGTTTTTTTTACTTTAACGCATATGCTGTAGTTTGTTTCTGTTAGTTTCTGTGAGTTTATTATTTATCGCATACTTACGTAATTTTTTTCATTTTTTCAGATTTGTACAAAAGCCCAACGTACACAAAGAACAAACGTGCCACGGTGTCCATTGTGCTAACGAAAATGTTACAAATTGTGCTATTTATACGTCAAAAAAAGGATTGAGTCATTTTATGCTTAACGTCGTCTACAATAACATGTTATCTCTCATTAGCCACCTAGGCCTAAAGTTTCTATTTTATGTTCACCCCAGGACACCAACAAAGCCAATAAGTTGCATCTGAAAGCATAAATGGGACGTTTTTAGATGCTCATGTACCTGACGGTACTTTGATCAAGTATGCTCTTTTTCGTGAGCTGTTAGGAGTGCGTTCCATGTGAGGTTATTTTACTGGAAATGCATTTGACTGGGACCAGAGATTAGGGTACGGTATACGTGACTGCCCATCAAAAGNTGTGCCACATTGTTACAAAAAGCAAAAGGACACAGATATTAAAGACATTGCATTGGACCACTTAGGAAGAGGTGGAGAATCTCCGGTCTCCAACGCATGCCCATACATTGTTTGCTTGGTCGTGTCAGCGTTGGCCTCAAGTAGTATTTGACCAGCTTGGCTAGAGTCCGGGATTGTGAGATACGCGGGCGACGTAGGCGGTAGAGGGGCAACGAGTCTTTTTAAGAGGACCAAACAGGCTTCAGCAGTCTCTCCATACAGAGGACTGACAGCGAACCCATCATTCGCAGGCATTATGGTGCCGTAACCGGCAATTTCTCCATCTTGCAGCAAAACTTTGGTCTGGGCATCTTCAATTCCAAACCAAGTTTTGAGAACATGTTCTCTTGGAATGGCATGGAAAGAGGTGTCGTAGTCCAATATGGCTTTCCAATCAACCTCCGAATAATCTTTAATTTCATATTTGGACTCTGCGGCTTCAGCGAGGGGAATTCTTTTGATAGTGACCATGTATTTGCCAACACCACCACGCAAAGATTTTTTATAGCCCCATTTTAGATACATTGGGATCACCGCTTCACTTCCGATAAGACTGATCGTTCTTCCGGCGGCCAATCTGTCTGCTTCTGCGTTTAATGCTCTAGCTGTAAAAAAGTTATTTATTTTACTCCGAACCGATACAGCAAGCCAGTGTGTGTGACTTAAGAGTACATACATTTACACATAAAAAATGTTTGGCATTCTCCAAAAGTAATTCAAACTACCTTTTAGTTTTTCTAATTCATATGTTATATGTCTGTTTATTGTCTATGCCCACCCAGAAAAAGCTGGTGGTCGTGTGTCCCATGGTATAGAGCCGAGCACCTGCAGTGCCAGTGTGACAGGAATGGTCGTCTACTAGGAAGTGCAGTCCGTTTCCCATTTCTTTCAGTGCAGTTGACATTTTCTCCATTCACTGACCCCCTTGAGTCATACTTCCAGCCAACCCCAATTTGTAATAAGAGTACAGCACCCCCGTCTTCCATCAACCATTCATGTCTCATCGGCGGCTTCATGACACCTTGCTTTTTCAATTTTCAACTTAATCCATTTTATTTTATTATTTTTTTTTATTGATTGATTGATTGTAGAAAGCCATTTTCTATGTGTCGGCAGCCAGTGGCTCAACTTACCAATCCCCTTGCCTCTGTGTTTTGATTTCACTATCAAAATACCAAGGAAAGTACTTGTTTCGTTGAAACTATACAACATGACACAACCTGAAATATCAAAATACCATTGTTATGAATAGTGCGTGTGTATGTGTATGTGTGTGAGAGGTTATCATTTTCAAGTAAATTTTTATTTTAGCAACGTAGGACAATGGCTGTACTGCCAAAATGTATGGTGAAATATCATAACGATTCAAAGTAACCTGTTCTTACCAATAATTTCGCCGTCAATTTCAGCAACCCACCACCCATCTTTGGCGATTTCAATATACGCCTTGATCAGCTGCAGACTGTAAGGTCTCCATCCTTCCTCTCTGACAATTCCCCAGATGTCGTCTGCATCACACATGCTTGCTTTGCGAACACGGAACCCATCTCTGTCAACCACGGCCGCCATTTTACCCACTAATGAGGCCTTAAAGTCCCCTTTCGATGACCCTATCTACCTTTATCATAGCAGTCAACCTCTCTCTACTTAGTGATGAATTTAAACCGTTTTCATTCAATCATGTCTTTACAATATTATGCTAATGAGTGAACTTTGATAATTATGACTGAATTTTTTTTTTTTTTTTTTTGAAACAGTCGCTTTGCTTATGAAACCTAGAAAGATGCACAGAAAAGGTACAGTGGAACATTAAGTAGGTCAGAGGATTACACCCTATATATACAACATACGTAACTCACGATAAGCATAGCCATATGAAATAGCGTGTTATATAAGGCAAAGGCGATGGCCATGCTTATCGTTATGCAAACCCATTCAGGCCAGTTTTATTATCTGCCTTGCTTATACATGCAGAGCCTACTTTTTCCGCATGTAGGCAGGTGAGTTCGTGGGACCCCCCTTTTGACCCCCCCAAAAGGTCTACTTTGAATTAAAGTACTTAAGTTTTCATGACATTTCTGAACTAGGATCAGTTTCTCTGTCCGAAATCCACCCCCTTCAGTCTTGCACATAACTACAGCGAATGCTTTTCGCTCTAGATAATGAGTTTTTCCAGTGATTCCATTATTTGGATCTCTGTACATTTGGGGAAACTAGCATGCCAACCTGTAAAATCATGCGTTAGTGCGCCAAGTCATATGACCCTGTGGTCACTCTTAGTTGGGTGAACAGTAATCAGTCACGTGGTTTTAGGTGTGTGTGTGGTGTAGAAATCTCGAGAGAATTTAGTAGACAAGTAGCAAGCATGCCGGTCCGTCACCTGTGTTTGGAACCGTAGATAGCATATAATGTGAGTAATTGTAAAATGTTTTTTTTTTACTTTAACGCATATGCTGTAGTTTGTTTCTGTTAGTTTCTGTGAGTTTATTATTTATCGCATACTTACGTAATTTTTTTTCATTTTTTTAGATTTGTACAAAAGCCCAACGTACACAAAGAACAAACGTGCCACGGTGTCCATTGTGCTAACGAAAATGTTACAAATTGTTCTATTTATACGTCAATAAAGGATTGAGTCATTTTATGCTTAACGTCGTCTACAATAACATGTTATCTCTCATTAGCCACCTAGGCCTAAAGTTTCTATTTTATGTTCACCCCAGGACACCAACAAAGCCAATAAGTTGCATCTGAAAGCATAAATGGGACGTTTTTAGATGCTCATGTACCTGACGGTACTTTGATCAAGTATGCTCTTTTTCGTGAGCTGTTAGGAGTGCGTTCCATGTGAGGTTATTTTACTGGAAATGCATTTGACTGGGACCAGAGATAAGGGTACGGTATACGTGACTGCCCATCACANTACGTCGGTGATATAGCTTTACAAATCACTGAGAACCGAACTGCGCACCACAGCTGACTCTCAGTGTCTCCAACATGTACACATGACAACGGAGGCCATAGTGTTACAAAAAGCAAAAGGACACAGATATTAAAGACATTGCATTGGACCACTTAGGAAGAGGTGGAGAATTTCCGGTCTCCAGCACATACCCATACACCGTTTGCTTGGCCGTGTTAACATTGGCTGCAAGTAGTGTTTGACCAGCTTGGCTAGAGTCCGGGATTGTGAGATACACGGGCGACGCAGGCGGTAGAGGGGCAACAAGCCTCTTTAACAGGACCAAACAGGCTTCGGGAGTATCTCCATACAGAGGACTGACGGCGAATCCATCATTTGCAGGCATTATGGTGCCGTAACCGGCAATTTTTCCGTCTAGCAGCAAAACTTTGGTCTGGGAATGTTCGATTCTAAACCATATTCTGAGAACACGTTCCCTGGGAATGACATGGAAAGTGGTGTCGTAGTCCAATATGGCTTTCCAATCAACCTCCGAATAATCTTTTATTTCATATTTGAACTCTGCGGCTTCAGCCACTGGAATGTTCTTGATAGTGACCACGTTCTTGCCCACACCACTGCGCATAGACTTTTTGTAGCCCCATTTGAGATACATTGGTGTTATCGCTTCATTTGCCACCAAAACGATCGCTCTGTCGGCGGCCAATGTGTCTGCTTCCGCCTTTAATGCTCTAGCTGTGAAAAAAATTAATTACTTCATATAACGTTTGACTCGATGTGGTTTGCCTGGGGTTATGAATTGTATATAAGAACATTCATTTATACAGGGTACATGCAAACAGTCAAATTATTTAACATTCTTCAAAAGTAATTCAAACTGTCTTTTGATCTTTCTAATACACATGGTATGTGTTTATTGTCTTTGTCCACGGAGATAACTGAGTCTCCTTTGGTTTAGAGACGGGTTACAGGATTGGCAGTCCGCCAGGAAGCGTAGTGAGTTTACCATTTTCTTGAGCCAGTACAGTTGACATTTTCTCCATTTACTGACCCCTATACTTCCGACCAACCCCAAACTGCACCAAGAGTATGGTACGCCGGACTTCCACTCTACGACTACCATTCCTGTCTCAACGGAGGCTCTTTTTTACATTTTAAAGCATTTTTACGTGTGTGTTAGCAGCCAACAGCTTAACTTACCAATCCCCTTGCCTCTGTGTTCTGGTTTCACTATCAGATAGCCAAGGAAAGTGTGGGTTTCATTGAAGATATACACCATGACACAGCCTAAAACATCAAAACAGTATCGTTATGGTGTGTGTGTGTGTGTGTGTGTGTGTGTGTGTGTGTGTGTGTGTGTAAGAGAGAGAGAGAGAGAGAGAGAGAGAGAGGGGCAAAGAGAGGGTATCTATGTTACAACGTATCCTGATTTCTTCAAAATAATTAGAGTAGATCTAATTTTTTTTTACGTCTATTCAAACTTTTGCAAAACGGCAGAGGAAGCGATCGAGATATTACCCTAGGAAATCCATTTATATCGTACTTTCAATACTTTTAAGTATTAAAATTCCTAACCAATGCACAGCATCACTTAAACTCCACTTAATTCATTCAACAAAATCGCACCCAAACTGCATAGCACCCATCAAAATCCTAACAAAGCGAGAGGCCCACGAGTCTCTAGCTTAGTAGGCCAAGAAGGGTTACTCTCATAAAGCTGAATTATCTAGATCATCACAAGCGAGACACATGTAAGAGACTAGCCCAGTAGGTCAAAAAGGGTTACTCTCATAAAGCCGAGACACGTACCTTTGCTGAATTCTCTAGATCATCATAAGCGAGACACTTGAGAGTGATTCCACATTTTAAAGCGGAGAAGGCTCCCTGTCAAAAAGGCGAGACACCAAAAACCAAGGAATTATATAGGACGTCAAAGCTCAAACCATCACTACAAAAAGAGACCAAAGAACAACTCTTGCTTATATATAGGAACCCCTTTATTTTCTATCCTAGCTTTATACCTATGATTTTGCCGTCTTTTTCAGCAACCCACCAGCCATCCTTGGCAATTTCCATATACGCTCTAATCAGTTGTAGATTGTTAGGTCTCCATCCTTCCTCTCTGACAATCCCCCAGATGTCGTCTGCGTCGCGCAAGCTTGCCTTACGAACACGGAACCCATCTCTGTCGACCACAGCCGCCATTTTACCCGTTAAGTACGTTTGTTTCCCTTCCGATGGCCTGCATTTGCTTTAGACTGTAATCGACACTCAGCTACTTTTTTAACGAATTAAACTATTTACATTCGTTTACGTCTGTCCAATATTATGCTTATTAATAAACTTTGATAATTATGAATAATGTTTTGAAACAATCACTTTGTTTTTTAGATTAAACTCGGAACGAATCATGTTCAGCAGGGTTTAGTTTACAGGTCAGAGTGCAGAGTTCAGCATGTGCCGTCACTTACGATAAGGGTTCCGATATAACGCTAAGCATTGCCACATGCTAAGTAGCATTTTATTTAACCCAAAGGTCAAGATCATGTTTATCGTTATGCAAACCCTCTCAGGACAGTTATTCCATTTGACTTACGGTAAAACAAAAGGGGTAAAAGTCATTTTCAGTTTGATGGTATACTATCTGGGTTTGAAAATGTCCTCAAGTAACATTCTGTATGTCCACATATATTGGGCAGCTTCTCACCTTTTATTCAAACTTTTTAAACTATAAAAATCCACCGATAAATAAGTCTGATATCGTTGATGTTTCCTTCAAACATGCACAGGCGGTTTAATTGACTGGCCAGTCGTGTTTAGGTTAGACTGCCTTCCCATAGATTTAGATCGATCCATCTGGATTGACCTAACTCCCTGGGGGTTTACGCTAAACTCTCTCTCTCTCTCTCTCATTTTTGCTGTCAGTCGAGCGCGCACGGAAGTTAATTACCCCTTACAGCTTTTAGTAGGCGGGACAGACATTTCAGCCGACTTAGCCGACAGCCATCCAGTGAGACTCCCCACGGAGATAGATCGATCTAAAATCTGTGGGAATGGGGTCTTAGATTATTTAGTTAGAAATGGTATGAAACGTCGAACACAAGTACAGAGACGAGTCAGGCAAGGATTCGTCAGTAGAAAATATGCTTTTTTTCGAGGAAATTCGATATAAATTACGGGAAAATAAGATCAAACGTTCGATAAGTTTTGAGCAAAGATTCCTGGGTGGTAAAACAAACCAAAGTTTCGAGTATCTGGAATATTCCGTTGAAAAATACGTTTTAAAATCGATATTTTCTCAATATCTGGCTTCTAAAAATTAAATGATTTGCAAGTCAACTAAATGCACGAAAACACAACGCGAACCACTCATAGTGGCTACTAACCATATTGATTGCAGTAGGTGAGTTGTCACACTGTCACACCTCGTAATATAACACAAACAGCCTGTTTCACTAGTTAGACCAGAAGATGATCAGAATTTTCAAAAAAAAAAAAAAAAAAAAATATATATATATATATATATATATATATATATATATATATATATATATATATATA